AGCAGTGATAACTTGATGATGTTCAAACAGGAAGGTGGTACAGGGAAGGGGAGAGGCAGCTTGCCACTACTTTGTAGAAACTAAAAAATATGTGCACACATTCAGAACATCCCAGTGCTTTCTCAGCACAAAAATTATTGGGCAGAAGTCTCATCGTGATTATCTACTTCCCCAAAGGACAAATAATATGGGTATCATTTGCCCTTTCTCTGTACAATGGAAATTGGCATTCAGTATTATCTCAATAGAATATTTCATCTTTATTCTGTATTGATGATACAGATACAGAACCATACATTTTTTAGGAACTATGAACATTTCAATCCTCATTGAGGAGTTCTTGTTTTCAGATAGTAATTTATAAGCCAGTTATATGGCATGTTTTTTAAATAATATGTTAAATATATATATTAATCAGGAATTTTTTTCTGGGCTGGGCATGGAACCTCAAACATGCTAGGCAAAAGCTCTGCCGCTAAGCCACACCCATAGCCCCATCAGGATTTATATATATATATATATATATATATATATATATATATATATATATATATTTGTTTTAGTGTGTGTGTATACATGTGTTTGTCTGTGTGTGCACACGTGTGTGTGTGTGTGTGTGTGTGTGTGTGTGTGTGTGTGTGTATGTGTGTGATGTGTTCAGGTGTCCTATAGAGGCTAGAAGAGGGCATCAGATCCCCTGGAACTGAAGTTAGATTATGAGCCAATAGATGTGGATGCTGGGAACGGAACTCAGGCTCTCTAGAAGAACATTGTAACTGTGATTAATTTGGCAATTCTACATAATTCATCTAGTAATCAAGAGAAGTTTATTTCTGGGGTAACTTACAGCCAATAGGGGTTGGTTACAGGATCCAGGAGAGATGAGGTACCATCCAGCGGAGAACTCTGGCTTGGTCTCTCATCCAGCTTCCAGGACCATGAGGTATCCAGAAGAGCCCAGCCCATAAGCACCTCGAGTCTTAAGGGGCTCCCTCTCAGCCATGCCCCAGTGGCAGGTCATAGGCAGGTGTGGCAGTTACCTGCTGTCACTCTAGGGGCAGTGTTTCAAGGTCAAAGCTGGAACAGCTACCCACTACAGAACATCAAGTGCTTTCAACCACTGAGCCATCTCCCTAGCCACCAAGGTTTTTTTTTGTTGTTGTTGTTGACTAGCTGTATCTGTTTATACCATGTAATATAGATTTTCCATTTGGAGGAGTTATAAAATATTTGCCTTTTAAAACACTTTCTTCTGAGAAAATAATTTTTATATAAATGGATAAAATATAAAGTGATTTACATCTGGTATCTACTTATGAGTGAGTACATACCATGTTTGTCTTTCTGAGTCTGGGTTACCTCACTCAGGATGATATTTTCTAATTCCATCCATTTGCCTGCAAACCTCATGATGTCATTGTTTTTCTCTGCTGAGTAGTACTCCATTGTGTATATGTATCACATTTTCTTTATCCATTCTTCAGTTGAAGGGCATCTAGGTTGTTTCCAGGTTCTGGCTATTACAAATGATAACCAGACTGCAACTCACAGCTCTAGGGAGGCTGGCTAGTAAAGAGGACCCTAGGAAAGACACAGGGATCGCCCAGTGATGGAGAAATGAATGAGATCTACATGAGCAAACTGGGGGTCGGGGGATGGTGGTAATGGAGGGCAAGGGTCAAGGGAAAGAGAGCTTAGGAGAGCGGGAGGTCCTAGCTCGATCAGGAACAGAGTGGGAGAACAAGGAAAGAGATACCATGATAAATGAAGACACCATGGGAATAAGAAGAAGCAGAGTCCTAGAGGTCCCCAGGAGTCCACAAAGATGACTCCACTATAGACTACTGGCAATGGTCGAGAGGGTGCCTGAGCTGACCTACTCTGGTGACTGGATGGCCGAACACCCTAACTGTCATGATAGAACCCTCATCCAGTGACTGATGGAAGCAGATGCAGAGATCCATGGCCTAGTCCCAGGCGGAGCTCCAGGAGTCCAATCAACTAGAGAGAGGAGGGATTCTATGAGCAAGAGATATCTAGACTATGATTGGAAAACGTACAGAAACAACTAGCCAAACTAGTGGAAACACATGAACTGTGAAACTGTGAACCAATAGCTGAGGAGTCCCCATGGTACTGGACTAGGCCCTCTGAATAAGTGAGACAGTTGTTTAGCTTGAACTGTTTAGGGAGGCCCCAGGCAGTGAGACCAGGACCTGTCCTTAGTGCATGAGCCAGCTTTTTGGAACCTAGTGCCTATGCTGAGACACTTTTCTCAGCCTTAGTGCAGGGAGGAGAGGCTTGAAATTGCCTCAACTGAATGTACCAGGCTCTGCAGACTCCCCAGGGGAGACCTTGCCATGGAGGAGGTGGGAATGGTTGGGGGAGAAGGCTGGGGGGGGGGGGGGGTAGGAGGAGGGAGGACAGGGGAATCCATGGTTGATATGTAAAACAAATAGAAAAATCTCTTTAAAAATAGAAAAAAATGTAAAGTGATACATAATGCTATTATGAGGTACTCAGGATGATGCTTTATGGGTGACAGGCTTGATAGTAACATATCCAGAGCCTCTGTAGAAGTCTCCATCATGTGCAGACAAGGGTGACAGATTGAAAAGGAGCATAGAGGCTGCTGTGGTTTGGATATGAACTGTTACCCCCCAGGCTCATGTATGAACAGCTGGTCTCCAGCTGGGGGCCCTGTTCTGAGAGACTGTGGAACTGTTAGAATGGGGGAGCCTCACTGAAGGAAGTGAGTCACTAGTAAGGGCCTTGATGTGGATGGCCTGGTTCAGCTTCCTGTCTCATCTCTGCTAACCTCAGGAGCTTCGAGAAACACCCACCATAGGCTTCCATCACCATGGAGCTGCTTGCTTCCATGCTTTCTCGACCATGGTAGACCATGACCCTCCAGCTGTAAGGAGAAATAATCTTTTCCTCATGTAATCTGCTTATTGGCAGGCATTTGGTCACAGCAAAGAGAAACATTAATACCAATGTAGACCACCAAAGGTTTTGGAGAATTAAGAGCTTAGGGTAAGATAAGGTAAAGCAGACAGAACACAGGATCCCTTCTTGTGTTTTTAAAGGATATTATTATTATTATTATTATTATTATTATTATTATTAAGCCACAGTTTCACTTATAATCCTGGTCAGCCTGGAGCTTACTATGTAAACCAGGGTGTTCTCAAACTGACAGAGATCTACCTCCCTCTGCCTCTCGAGTGCTAGGTTAAAGACATGGACCACCATACTGGCATTATTGTATTATTTTTTATTGTGTGGTTGCGTATGTATGTGTGAGTACTCAAGTTGAGTGCTGAGTGGTTTTGAGCTGCTCAACATGAGTTAGAAACTGAACTTGCATCTTCAGCAAGAGCATATGTATTCTTAACCACTGAGCAACTTCTCCAGTCCATGTTTCTGTATTTTTCAAGCTAAGGAAGATAAGGCCATGAAACCCACAAGCAAATGACCATTTCCCTGTGATATTTGCAGCAATGGCCTTTATGATCTGAATGCTATAAACCGCTCTTAGCATCACACTCACTGTCGTAAATGCCAAGAGCATTCCTGCATGCCTGCTCTCCATCCTGATGATCTTGGGGAGCTGCAGGCTCCAGACACTCTGATGCTATTGTCCAGGAAACATTATCATCCCAGAGAGAAGCTGTTAGTAGGGAATAGAGTCTTTAACTACACAATATCTATGCAACAGGTCTTCAAGTATCCTCTGATGAAAAGAAGGGCTTAGCGGGAATTTATTACCTTCCACCCTGATTCCACATCTTAAATCCCCAGCTCTGCCCATAGTTCATCATCATTAAAGTCATTTATCACTGAAGTCTTATTTACATGCATCTCAGGGACCATGATTCCAAGGCCTGCATGTTCCTTGCTTTCTTTATGTCTCCTAGGATTGTGACAGAAGAGCCCCAAGGGGTCTGGGTTCAAGTCTCAACCCCATCACAAGCTGGCCATTTGCCTCAGGGCCAAATATGTGATCTCTCAGAATCCCAGATGCCTCCCCTGAAAGGGACTAATATCTCTCTAATTGAGCCGTTGTGTGCATTAAATGAGGTAAAGTATATAAAAGTGTGCATAGGACCTGGCAGCCATTAAACCCTAATGAATCTCTTCTAACCATACTTCATTACCAAAAGATACAAAGATAGCTTTTTCTTGCTTTCACTTTCCATTCTTAACCATAATTTTTATTTTCCTACACATTAATAATTCATATACCATTATATTCTTAAATACATTTTAGAGCTATGCCTGGTGTGTGATCATAAATGGAAATGCTAGATATTCAGGTTATTTGGATGTGCATTATCTAGAAAGTCTTCATGAGTCTGATGGTAAAGTTTTGAAAGCCTAAAAGTTCATGCTGTTTGAATAAGGTCCCCCCCCCCCCTTCTCCCTGTCCTTTCCCATCCTGTAAATACTCAGCTTCCTCTCCTCTCCCCTTGGTTTTGGCACAAATATTTTCCCAAAATGCCCTTCAAATAGAAAGTAGCTTTAATGGCTTTATCTTCAATGATTTTCATATGCAATGTTTATCTGCTCGGTACAGCAGAACACATTATCTTAAGATGCATCATGTCTTGAGATACTCAAGTTTTGTTTCACATTTATTATTTATGTTTTCGGAACTGCACACAGGCATGTGTCAAGACACATGTGTGGAGGTCAGAAGACAATTTTCAGGAATCAATTTTCTCCTTCCACAGTGTGGATTTCAGGGATTGAACTCAGGTCATCAGCATTGGCATCAGCAGTGCCTTTACCTGCAGAGTCATATGACTGGCCCAAATGCATCATCATTGGACAGTTTATTTCCTTATGCACAAAAGTGACGAATCCTTCTTAACCCCTTCCCTGCCCCCTTTAGTGAAGTTATGCTTAGGTTCTCCATCAACAGGTAGGCAATTAAATTAACTTGGAAATAACTGACTTCACACTAACTTGTTCAAGAATTTAACAAGTTTCAAAGATAAAGAAACAGAATACTTTATTATAAAACATAAAATAATTAAATATTACACATATATTTTGACTTTTCTCTATAATCCATGTTTTTTTTTATTCAACATTATCCCTCAGAATATCACTTACTCAAAGAAGCGAGTGAGAACACATAAGAATAGGCTATTAATAAATTAATTCTTTCCCATAAAATAATAAAATGATAATTATATAAAGACAAATAACTTCCCACTTTTCAGAGAGCAAGGGAATGGTAGTGTGGTATTATTTTTTTTTCTCTCTCCTCATATAAAAATGGCTACCAAAGGGCCAAGCCAAGAAGGCCAAGCTGTTACTTTTCACTTCCATGGCAACTTTTCACTTCCATGGCATCCAAGAACTCATGATTCCCACTAGGATGGGGACAAGGAATGCTGTTAAATTTAACAGACCACTGTCTAGCTGGTTCTGCTGAGCTGGCAAACCCCTGTTTGAACCGAGACTCTGAGAAGCAGTAAAAATGAGTGTACATTCATCCAAGAAACTGGGGAGATGGAGGAGTATCATATAAACATGCCCTGTAGAACCACTTCTCAAAGAATTACAGGGGAACACAGTCTTATAAGTTACTCTGGCTTTGGCAAACAGAATGGTGTTTTTCCAATTGAGAACAATTTTAAGCTTGTTAATGCCCATCAACAGCTGGCTCCTGATGACCAAAAATCTCATCTGAGACATGGTGAAGTACTGTTATTCATGGAAGGGTCTTGGTGAGTTGTAATTTATTAATGTAGCAAGAAGACAGATGGATTTTTCTCTGGCCACTGTGTTTTATTTATTTTTTTCCTTGTTGACCAAGTCCTGGGGTGAATTGAAACTTGTCAGTTGGTGGGCGAAAACCACAAGCAGCCTTTAATTTTCTAAGCATTCTGATAATATGTATGGAGCATTATAAATGGTAGGCTTCCCTCCTTCAAGCATGCTATTTTACCAGTTAGCGCCTATTTTTACCAAAAATGAACATGTCACCAGTTCTTGTTCCCAAAGAGCAGGCACCAGCCTCCCTCTTTCCCAGTCAATAAGCACCAAAAGTTATGAGGTTGATGTCAGATGAAGGGCATCAAGATTTGAGGGTTTTTTTTTTCCCTTCAAGTGTGAGTTTTAATTCCATGAAGATCTTAAATAGCCCATGTGACCCTGCTTCCAGAATGCTACTGGGAATATGTTTCAAGTTGTTAATTTCAGTCTTGGAGACTCTCTAAAGGCAGAATATACTTGAAACCCAATAAACAACACACAGAAAATAAACATAAGATACAGCTTGCCAGTCCAGCAGCAAGCACCCATTGAGCACCGTTTGTTATCAGATTTTGACACTATAAATTCCAAGCAACTGCTGGGCAAAGAGTTCCATTCATGTATTTGATGGCTCTGAGTATCAGTCTTTGACCTGAAGCCTTCAAGGGCCTTTTAAAAAATAGATGTCTTTGCCCTTGACTCCTTTGATGTTCAAGGGTATGTATGTGGAGAGGAGACCCATCCCAAAGTCAACAAGATTTTCACTTGGTCAAAATGAAAACTTGTCATGTCTCAGTCTGATGCAGCTCATCTTTCAAATGACAGTGCAAAGAGAAGGCTTTTTTTTTTTTTGTTTTTTAAAGCTGGATTTGTCATCACTTCTCATTGTCAAGTGCTTCAGAGTACCATGTGCTTCTAGGGGTCGACTAAGGAGGCTGGTGGCTGTCTATCCATTCTTCAAACCCTGTGGCAGTTCCTGTGTGGTTTGTAGTCTTGATCAAAAGACCTGGAGATGGGCAGGTAAGGTCCTGGTCTGAGGAAGGTACGTGGTCTCTGGATCAGCTAGCTCTTCTTTGTGCATGACCTACAACACTGTTTTCCATAAAATTTGTGGTTGCAGACCCCGTGCTGAGGGACCAGATGACACCAGCTGAAGAAATCGACACAGGATGGGTCATCTGAAAGGACAAAAAGCATTTAGTACATCAGCTAGGACTTTGGCCTTCTTACTAAGATGAGGGCCTATGGAACAGAGATCTAGGCCCACCTCCTTGTCCCTCTGTGTGTTCTGCCCATGATACATTTGGACTTTGCTTGGGCAGGCTTAATATTCCGAAAGGGACTGTATCTGTTAGCAGAATTTAAATAGGGGACCAGTGTTAGAAAAGAAGTCATAGCCAGTAGGAGATCATGATTGCCTGCATATAGCCTGGCAGTTAGCATGAACATGAGGTCCCAGGGCAGTACCTTTCCAAGGAGCATCTTCCTTTTAGTTACTTTCTTCTTGCCTTTGCGTGCACAATAAAGACCCACAGTTCTCCTGACTCTTCTTGTATGGGCCCTGGCTTGGACTTTCTGTGACTCACCTGCCTGTAGTTTCTTTGGTCCTGGGTTCTTGTACCCAGAATTCCCCTTTTCATGCCCTTTTATATATCACAGTCATTCCCAGGAATCCTTTTCTGACACAAACCAGTTCCTGTCATGCCTCTTACTTAGGGCCTTCCTTCTCATCCCTCCACACTCGAAGGTATGGTGATCCCTGTGGAGGCTGAGCTTTAGGATGTGAAGTCTGACTTCCTGGCCTCATCTTCTCCTTTCTTCCCCAACCCAGTCACACTAGCCCCCTTGCTGATCCCAGAAGCACTGGTGATCTCTGTCTACCATTTTCCCAATTCACCACCCGGCAGACTTTCCCTAAAATTCCAGGTTAGTTTCTTCTCTCCTCTGCCACTCAACAAACCAGCCTACTCCTTGGCCTTCCAGGGAGGGTCCTCACTATCTTCCTTGCTTTATCCATCTTCATTATACCATGTGGTTGCTTAGTCTCTTGTGGGGCGTTTACCCAACCACCCCCACAGTTCCCCAGAGTTTTCTTGAGTGCGAGCAGCAGGAAATATTATATAGAAGGATTTATTGCGGAGAATATCGCGGAGATAAACAGATAGAAAATAAAGGATAGCCTCGAGAGGGCCTGGAACCTATTCCAATGGGCCCCAACTGTCTCTGCCTCAGGGTTTTTATAGAGACGCCAAGGGGTGGAGCAAAAGACCTCCTCCCCCAGCACAGCCAAGTGCAGACCATCTCAGACACTTGCACTCAGGCCCGTGGTCCTAATCATCCTCTATGTGGACATGCTGGGTAAAGCCACGAGGATCCCGAGAACGGGCTCCCACAGTCTCTGTCCTCTACAGTACAAAATCTTTGAGAGCAGGTTCTTGGTCTCCACTCTTCATTGGTTTCTTCCCAATACTTAAAATAGTGCCAGACACAAAGTAGTTGCTAGATAAATATTTTTAAAAACTTATCAACTATTTTTACTCTTAGAACACTATCATCACTCCACACTGGTTTGATCATCATGCTCCTCTTTACATGTATCGAGATGCACACTGAACAATGAGCTCCTGGTTGCAAAAGTTTAGTTTTGCATTTAGTAAGTCCTGTCCACCAGCACAACAGAAATGCAAGTGGTCAAGTCCTGTCCACCAGTGCAACAGAAAGACATGTGCTAGCTAAAGAAAATATTTTTGGAAAAAATAACCACAGTGGCTAAAATAATAAAATTAAGCCATATAGCATAGGAACTTAGGTTTAAAAATGAGTGGGATATTATTTTTCCTTCCAATGATTTCTAGTTTTCCTTCCAATGATTTCTAGACTCTCTCTCTCTCTCTCTCTCTCTCTCTCTCTCTCTCTCTCTCTCTCTCTCTCTCTCTCTCTCTCTCTGACAGCAGTGCAGATAACTTGTAAATGTTATCCTCAGCAGAGACTTGGTAAATGATGTGAGAGAAATAATAGTTACAACAGTATTTTTAAATCAAGTATACAGAAGGATGGAGTTTAATCCCCTGAAATGAGCACTTCTATAGGTCAGAGATTGGGCACCAGAAAGCTGGTTTGAGATATGCTGGGTTCAAGATTCAAGTCAGACATTAAGATGAAGAGCTAGCTACATTCCATTTGCCTAATTTATATGTATGTAATACACTTATGCACATACATTATAAACATATCTAGTATCTGATGCCCACGATCAGTTAGCATGTACCTTAGGCATGCTATTTATATTTATATTTCTAGACATTCTAGATTATTCTGTTGGTACAATGGAAGTTTTGCAAGATAATATAGACTACTGGAACTTTGAGGTCACTTATTTTTGTGGTCCTTTGAGAGAAGGTCCTGCTATATACCCAGGGTAGCCTTGAACTTGTGGTTATGCTTCTGCCTCTGCCTCCTAAGTGTTGTGATTATAGGCATATACTATCATTCCCTGACTAACCTCACTATTGTATCAACTCTCACTTCTCTAAAACATTTAAAAAAATATATTATGTGTGTGGGTGCTCTATCTACATGTATATTTATGCACCACATGCATGCAATGCCCATAGAGGCCAGAAGGCATCAGATTCCCTGGAACTGGAGTTACAGATGGTTATGAACTGCCATGTGAGTGCTGGGAATTGAATCTGATCCTGTGGAAGAGCAGCCAGTGCTTTTAAGCACTGAGCCATCTCTCCTATGAATAGAATAGCATTTTACCAAAAGCTTACATCAGGGACCCTGGGCTTCATGTAAGCCAAGAGGCAGAGCTGAGGAGGGTCAGCATGTTATGAGTGTGTGGTACCCTCTTTGCTGGTAAGAACAGTTATGGATGGCTGGTTATCTGAGATATGAAGCAGGCATGTGGCTTACACTGTGGAGGCTAATTGTAGACCCCGCTCTCTTTGCCTCACTTTCTGCTTGCAAAAAGCAGCAAGCACCATTGGCCCAGTCTTCCAGATCTGCCCAGCTTCCTTCCCCTTACTACCTCCCTGTAAAAGAGACTCTTCCATCTTTCCTTGGATGCAGCTGCCACCTCTCCATGAGGAGATCCTGTTCTCATTCTGCTCCAGGGGACCCATTGTCATGATCTCACATGTTTCTCCACCTTATCCATTGAAATCTGATGTCTCTGTGATGACTAATGAGGCCCCTATACCACATTTGGTTTGTGCTTATGCAGTCAACTGTGCTCCTAATCTAAGTATCTTGCTGTTCCTTTGCATTTGCCCTTTCTTCTGCTGAGCACATACGAGATCCACCTTCCTTACTTCCTGGAGGTCCTTTTCAAAAGTTACTTCCATTCTGGGGTCTGGCTTGACCATTCTGTCAGGCCTGATTTCCCCACCTCTTTCTCAAGGTGGGAATTTGTTGTGGTCCCTCAAGGCTCTGAGATCCTTATAGCCTCAGGATAGAACCCTGTTTTGTTGTATTCTTTTATTCCTAAACAAGAGCCCTGGGGATACATGATGAGTTCTTAGTGACCTTGATATGAATGAAAGAGAGGGCTTCACCACACTGGACTCACCAGCTTCCATCTACTACATACTCAGCAGATATTGTGAGCCAGGTGAGTATCAGACACTGGGAAAACAGAGACTAACATGATCTCCTCTCTCCTGTGCCTGTCTGAGAGATGTTCCCGGGACTGACCAGAGCACTAAGGTAGTCTGGCTATAGAGATGGACAGGAGGGAGAAGAGGTCTGGCAGAATATGCCCCATCACTTTAAAATACTAATTATCCTCTATGTAGAAACCCAGTGTTGATCAGAGATGATCCTGCTTCAGCAATCCCTACATTACAGTCACACAGGATAACACAGGAAAATAGGGAAGAAACCGATGCCCTGACCATGCAGCCAGATGGGAAGTGATGCAGTTGGAGTGGCAAGGGAGAGAAAGGGGATAACTAACAGCGCCAGATATTATTCACCACAAATTGGAAAAAGTGGGCTGAGAGATTAGGCAGGCTTGGGGAAATCTGTGCCTGGATTAAAAACAATAGAAACCCCAGCAGCTGGGTGCTGGAGAAAGACTCTTTAGCATGATGAAATCTGATCTGACTGAGAGATACTCTTGGTGTTTGCTAGATTACTTTAAATTGCCTAGATTTCTAAGCATGATTCTAGATTACCCATCAGCACCCACTGTCCTACGCTTGTACCAACTAAAACAACAGGACAATGCAGAGTCATTTTAATTGGTTGTAAGTTCTGTGTCTTACCTATTAAAATGTGAGCTCCTCTAGGGCAATGTTTATTTACTTTTATACTTCCACTGATTAGCAAAAATCACATTTTTGAGGGAGGGTCTCATGTAGCCCAGGCTGACCTCAACTATGTAGCCAAAACTGACTGAACTATTTATTTATTTTTAGGTTTTTTGAGGCAGGGCTTCTCTGTGTAACTTTGGAGCCTGTCCTGGAACTCCCTCTGTAGACCAGGCTGGCCTCAAACTCAAAGAGATCCTCCTGCCTCTGCCTCCCAAGTACTGGGATTAAAGGCATGTGCCACCACTGCCCGGCTCTGACTGAACTTACAATTCTCCTGACTTTACCTCCTAAATGCTAGAGTTACAGGTGTGCACAACTATGCATAGTTTTATATCATGCTGGGGATTGAACCCAGGAATTCATGCATGCTAGGCAAGCACGCTACCAACTGAGCCACATCTCCAGCCTCCAAATACTTTGTCTTAAAAAGGGAGAATGGTTACATGACCATTTCCCAGGAATGAATAGCTGAAAAATTTTATTGAATGAAATGTTGCCTTCAGATCATGCAAACAATACGGTATTGACAGGGACAGCCTCAGATTTGGCCTTGTACAAGCCTAAGAATACAGTCCCATGGATGCTGATGGGACCAGGATACCATAGAGTCATGTAACATAGAAGCGGCACAACTGATTATAACGAGCTGTGGAAACGCTCTCCTAAAACTGGTGAAATCGGTGGGACATGGAATCCTTTACCTCTCTTTTCAGGAGCTGGGCAGAAGTTTGTATTGCAGGCTCTGAGCACCGGAGGCTTCTGATGGAGCAAACAACTTGAGGAAGGGCGGCCTTGCTGCACACAGTGGACAGATCGGGTCTGGACCCCTCCCCCACAGGTTACCGTGCACTGCAAGGAGGGAGAGAGGAAGGAGTTATACCTGCTCAGCTGGACAGTGTCCTCTCGGAGGTCAGTAGCATCAAACAGAAGGAAGTGTGATACTCATGACCAAGATGCCTGTGGATGTCGCAGTCTGCAGCTAGGTCTAGGCATACAGTCCAAGTCTATTCAATTCTGTGTGAGCTGTGTGGTCTATCAGAAGAGCCTTGGGCAAATGCTATTGCACCTGAAAGTGCATCTCCAGTTAAGGGGACCATAAAGAGGTAGGCTCCAGAAGCAGCCTCAAAACCACAGAAACACATTCAGACACGGTCAGGGATGGAGGAGAAGAAGTCTAGGCAATCTCAGCCAGATGCCAGAATGGATGGGGGTAGCTTGAAGCAAGGGCTATAAAGGATGAACAAACCAGAGACACTTTGGGATGGTACCTAACTAGATTCTGAGGTAGCATAGTACCTAACAACCAGGGGATTTCACTGTCCAATTAAGCAGAATCTAGGCTGCAAGTTTCTTTTTGTCCCCAAGGGCTACATGAAAGGCAGATGGATCTTTAACAAAAGAATGGAAATGTCGCTGTGACTGCTGGCTCCGCACACTTCAGCTTCCCAACATGGCGGTGGTACATTTTTTCCGCCAGCTCTGGGAGCCATCAAGTCTCAGAAATAGACTAGTTATTATAAATAGACTACATATTATAACTGTAATTCTTGCTTGGTAATTGTTTTGTTATCTGTAATTTTACTATGTTAAAGTTAAAACTTTCCTTTTTGAAAAAGAAGAAAAGGGGAAGTGCTGTGGATATCGCTCTGTATAAATAAACACTGATTGGCCAATAGCCAGACAGGAAGTATAGGTGGGACTAACAGAGAGAGAACTGAGGAAACAGGAAGGGAAGAGAGAGACTGCCTGGGGTCGCCGCCAGGACAAGGAATACGTAAGGTACTGGTAAACCACGAGCCACATGGCAAAGTATAGATTAATAGAAATGGGCTAAATATAAGAGTAAGAGCTAGACAATGATAGGCCTGAGCTAATGGCCAAGCAGCTTAAAATAATGTTAAAAAAAAAAAGAATGGAAATGTCAGGGGAAAAGGCAACCCTTTAACTAGATCATAGATGTTTTGCTTTAGAATGGACAGCAGACAGAGGAGAACACCATTTTGTGCAATATGATCACTGTATATCCTCGTATTGGGGAGGAAAAAGAAAGTTTTGGCAGACAGAAGATGCATTTAGGAATTATCCAAGCACTCAAATGTAGGTGTATGACTGCCATCAACTTGTCTGACTCTGAAGTTGCCAGGAAATGAGAAAATCCATGAAGAGCATTAACAGAAAACACAAGCAGGGGTTGGCAAAATTTAGTTCTTGTGTGTCCTTCAGAAACATGCTCTGACAACCAGGGGTCAGGGATGGAGAGCAGTGTCCCCAAAATGATAGTTTCAAGAGTGGCAACAACCAATATGAGCACAATGTCACAGGCTTCCTGTTCAATACTTTACTTATTCCAATTTTCTAGGCCTAAAAACTGTGTGCCAGATTGTACTTGAAACCTGCCAAAGCTCATATAGAGGGTGGAATGGGTTGACCAATGCCAACCGTCCCAACTCTATACAGTGAGACAACTGTTGATGGACTGAGAACAGTGCTCCTGTGCTACATCTCACTTGAACATCTGCTTCCTAAATCTGCATGCACCCACCTGTTGCCATGGTGAGGAATACCACCCTGCCACCATACTGTACACAGGGCAAGCCCTTCTGTTGCAGGTTTCTTCCAGTTCCAGGTTTGGCTTCTTAATGTTGCGGCATCTCCGCTCTGGGAATGTTATCAGTTTCCCCTGCAAGGTCTTCTCACTGCACTTCAGCTCTCTCTTCCTCACACCCAAACCACAGGTTGCAGAACACTAGGAGCCCAGAAAAGAGGTATAAGAGTGCAGGGTTCCACAGTCAAATCTACTGAGCTGTGTGTTCATTCAGTGTCAACTACACAATACAGCAGCCAGGTCCCTCCTGTTACAGACGAGGAAATCAAAGGCCAGAGCATCGAAGTGATCTTCTCCTCTCTGAGTTACAAAGAGAAATCCCTGTTCATCAGGGATGAGGTGCCATATAGATGTGTGGGATGCAGGCCGCTGACTTACTCACTTTCTCAATGCCCCATGCATTATATAGTAATAGTTGAAAATACTCTTGATTTCTCATCATCCTCCATCCTTCTGGCTGAAGGACCAGAGCTGGGGCAGTATTGGAATGACCAGGACTACTTGAGACCTCTCTGAAGAGTAAGGAGTTTGAACCAAGAAGTGAAAAATAATTGAGACAGAACCACTTTTGCATGAATAACTGCCTGTCTTTGATTTTACCTTTCTTGGTTAGATCTGCTCTAACACTGTGCTACACTAGAGGGAAAAAGAGGCGTCTGAAAGAGAACAGACTGCTTGAAACTACTGTGTAATGTATGGGGTACTGATGAAATGAACGTGTCAGTGCATCAGTATAAATATTTTAAACTATGAAGGTAATGTGTTGGCTCCATTGTAAAGATGAATAAAGGGATGCTAGCCCAACATTACCCTCACAGTACATATTGATGGCTGATTGCAAGGAGGGCACGTTTTTCACTTGGTTATTTTTGTGATAATGCTTTTATAAAAGGATTGAGAGGAGACAGGGGCCTACTGTTGGATTTCATTCATGACATGGGCCAGTGCTTCTCACCTAGAAGAGAAGTGCATTGAAGGAACAGATATGTGGCCATCAAGCTTGTTATGGTTAGTTGATGCTCATTTTCAGGTTTACCAGATTTAAATAACCTAGGAACCACACCCCTGAAATTTCCAGGGTGGTTTAAGTGAAATGGGAAGATCCACTCTAAATGTGGGTGCTACTAGCACATGGGTTGGGGTCCTGGACTGAAATAAAAGAAAAGGCAAGTGGAGCACCAATGCTTATCTCTCTCCATTTTCTAAACATGGAAACAATATAAAGAAACAGCAGTAAGTAGGCACCTGGCACATGTATGTACAGAAAGGAACCATGTGGGTGCCAGTGAGTGAAGGAGCATTTATGAAAATAACCCCCCAGTTGTGTCCCTAAACTCATACCTCACTCCATGAAGAGGTGATCCACTGGAGCCGGTTGTTTTTGGGGCATCGTCCCAGCACACAGCCCTCCTGTGTCTCAGGTCTGGGGCTGCCAGAACACAGGTTCTCTGAGAGCGTCTCTGAGGCAGAGTTTTTACAAAGGACCTCACGTCTCCTCACTCCTCGTCCACAGGTCTTGGAACACTTGAGAAGAAGAAAAGGCGCCATTTGCATCCACCTCAGAAGGATTTCGTTTGGGTAAACACGGAGAATACATTTATAACTGATGCACTGACACGTTCCTTTCACTAATATCCTATACATTACACAGTAGTTTAAAACAGTCTGCTCTCTTTCAGATGCCTCTCTCCCTCTAATGTAACACAGTGTTAGAGCAGATCTAACCAAGGAAGAGACAGGTAAAATCAAAGACAGGCAGTTATTCATGCAAAAGTGGTTCTGTCTCAATCATTTTCATTCCTTGGCTCAAACTCCCCACTCCTCAGAAGCTGAAGTGGGATATTTTAGCTTCCACTTCAAACATCTGAATACCCAGCGGCGGCTGCTTCATCCCCCAGGTTGAAGATGAACTATGCTCATCATGAAGCAAAGGGTTTTACAGACACCGGATATGTTGTATCCAAACTTGACTTCCTCTCTCTTCCATAACCTTGGTCTAAGGTATATTCCTGGGGCAACACAGGGAGCAAAGCAGGAATATGTACACACTCAATATGGATATGTACAACAGTATCAAAAGAGTGAGATCCTCACCTCATAAGAATGTTCTTTGGGCATGGTGCTAACACGGCACTTATCAAACATGTCTGAGTAAATCTTTACTCTGGGCAATTTTCTTTTTTCTAAGAACTTTCTTTTTTTATTTTTTTTATTTTTTTTGCTTTCCTGAGAATTCTATGAACTAGATAAGATGTCAAAGAATCATCCCAGGAACAGCTAAAAACTTGTCAAAATTTCTTAGAGAACTCTGGCTCCACACAGGGATTGTCTTGGAGGGCTATATCCCCATGTTGATACTTGTGGTCTTCTTTTCTTCTCAGAAGAAGGATCAAATGATGTGGCCACTAGTACCTAAACAATAGACTGGGGCATAGTCCTACATGGATTTATAGGACCGCTGTCAATTCTCATTCATCAGTGTCCACAATCTTAAAGGAGACAATATCATGATCAGCACATTGTGGACAGCAGGAACTTTGTAATATGTTCAATGTGATAGACTAGATTGTAAATTGGAGTCTGCATCACACAACTGCCCATCAACCTTCTGAGTTCATTGCTATCATCCTATTCAAAAGAAACATCTAAAAACTAAGGCCAAAGTACTTAGCTGCTAAGAAACAAATATGAGCTGGTATGTGAGTCTGATGCCCAACCTTGGGAATAAACCATGGAACCTATCCTCATTCTTTTATATATAATTCCTGAAAAGTTAATAAAAATCTTAATTTTGTTTGCAATTATTTTTCATAAGAGAAAACTGTGTACATTGATTGCAGCAGAATGAATCGATTAGTTGCTGTGACCCATGTCTAAGAGCTGAGTAGCTTGTAGAAACAAATTTTCTTTCATGTTCATCATGAAACTACTCAAGATAGATCTGGTTTTTACAATTAAGCTTTAAAAGGAGAAAAACTTTCAAAATGTGAAATTTGGAGTACTTTAAGATGTGCTGGACACTCTGTAGTCCCCATTTACTTTGGTCCATGCCCATCACACACATGTGGCTTCATCTGCCTTTTGAATTCTCCATTTGCAATTCTCAATTGCAAAGAAAGATTGACCACAACAGATCCGACTTAGACTTACCCCCGCTATAAACAAATATATTTATTTTTTGCAAATATCCATTACCACGTTAAAAGTATCCCTACCTACTCCTGGACCCTTATTTCCTAACAAATATAGTCTCAATTTGAGTAAAAATATTCCCCTCACCTTTTCTGGGGATTTGGTAGTGCGTTGTTAAACTTAGTAAGAGATAGACTTCCTTTGGTAGAGAATAGACTCTAAGGGAATGATGACAGACGGGGCCATTTGCCACTAATAGCATCCTGGTACAGGCGATATGCCTTATACTATCCACCCACACAGGCTAAGGTAAGACTCTGAAGGCAGGAAAACCCTGGCACTTAACTTGTGTTTTGGGGAACTGTTTGTGCCCTGGAGGCCATTTGCCTCTGTGCTCCAGATGCCAATATGGCCCCTTCACTTCCAGGATGCCTCTGAGATGAACATACTCCCGGAAGAGACCATATGAGTTACAGGACATGTATGAGTTGTGCTCAGCATGCAAATTCCTATTCTATGCTTCTTCTGGCCCCATGATGCCTTGCAACTACTGCAAACTTGGTGCCCGGTTCTTTTGCATTCTTTTAGCACTATAGCTTTGCCACTAAAGTTTTTCCCTTTATCTTGTTCTTTTCATCTTATTTATTTATTTATTTATTTATTTATTTATTTATTTATTTATTTATTTATTCTCTGGGTGTAGCGGTCAGCAGATGACTTGCTGGAATTGTGTGGGTCCCAGGGCTTGATCTCAGGTGGTTGTGCCTGGTGACAAGTGCCTGTACCCTTAGATCCATCTCTCCGTAGTCAGGACCATGTTCCAATCCCTTTCTAGCTACATTTATAGACTCTCCTAAATGGTCTCCATGCTTATTTCTGGGCCACTAAGGAAGAGTCCAAGCTCTGGTATAAGAGGTTCAAAACTTCAGGTCACATAAGAACCATTAAAAAGGTACTTGCTGAAATGATGATTCCCAGGCACCGCCTCATTAATTCACTATGAAGATGAACATAGCTGAGCACCTCTCAGGAGGCCAAGTCACCTGTATTTCCACCACCTTGGTTTTTCATGCAGTCCAAGACTAGTACTTGGACTTCCAAAGCGGTGCTAGTTACCTGAGACCAGGGCCCAGGGCTCCACTCTGGAGGGCAGGCATGGCTGTTGCATACTTGAACCTGAGTGGGTGTGCTCACTGGACAGAGAGAATGCAGCACAGCTTCCTCCTTCTGGAAGGGCTTCTTCTGCACGCACCGTATCTTCCTGCTTTGCTGGCCCCCGGCACAGGACTTGCTACATACACTCCATTCACCTGGCAACCAACTTTCAGGGAGACCCAAAATTACTTCCTGTGGAATCAAAGCTTTGTAGTACTACTTCTCAAGCAGCTACTGAGAAAGATTAACTACTCAGGAAAACCCTCTGATTCATTTTATAACCAACCAGGGCAACTCCCACCAACTGTTCTTTTATGAATGTTGAATCACATACACATCCATTGGTGGGGGCAGCTATAAGGAGACACATTTAATCACCACAGGTTCTGGTAAAAATACATTCTAGCCTTCTACATGGAAAGAAATGTATTTTACTTTCTGAGCAATTCATCCAAACAAATTTACTGAGCTTTTAACTATGTGTCAGGGACCCAGTTGGAAAGATGAATAAGACCACATTCTTGCCATAAGGAAGCCTATGACACACTGAAACTGTGGGTATGTGAATCAAGACAAGGTTTTCTGATAAGTACTGTGACATAACCACAAGGCTAGTGGAAGAGTGAGTAGCATGGGAAGGCAGGTGTCTCCATAGGAGAGGGACAGTGCCCAGAGGAGACTTGCAGGAGAGACTATTTCTAAGTGGCAGTTCCCCACACTCCTTCTCTAGTTGGTCTTACAATTTACTGATAGGTCAGAGATCTAACTTCATGCCATTTATCTAAAGATCACCAGACACAGTTTTCCAGAACTATGAATCCTTTGCAAGAATTATTTCTGACTGATTGAAATTGTATGACTTACAGATATAACATTAAAATAAAGGCCTCCAGGTATAGCTGCTACACATTTGACTCACAGCAATGATGTCTACAATTACCTTGAATATAAATATGCTAAGTATTGATTATTTTAGAAAATAAGAGCAAAGTAGCCTAGTGTTCTGGTTAGACCTCAAGAATTTCATCACCTTGCTTAATCTTATTTCTCCCCTTTCTCTGGTTTCTGCCATAAGCTTTGTGTGTGAAATTAAAGCCCTTAAGTCTATAGAATTAACACAAGAGTGTTAGATTATATGTGTTCTAAAAAATACCACAAAATCCAGACCATCCTATTTTCAGTCAAAGACAATCTATCAAATAATTTCTCATATTTATACATTTTTTACACCTTACAAGATTTTAGAAAACATACTTTGAAATTACTAGTTTCATCATTTGCCTCTACTCCCCAAATTGTGTTTTTCTATCAAATTCAAGTTTCTCTCCTAATGTGACAAATATGACAAGTTGGTACGTGTACTAGAAAGAGCATCACACGGACACTTGGGGGTGGCACTCCTGGCCTTCCACATTTGATTCCCAGGCTACATTTCTACCTGGCTCTCTTGTCATCCACTTCTTGAGAAGTTCGGACCCCAGGTGGTCCATCTGATCCCTTACTGATTTTTAATACCTGATATTTTATAGCACCAGGCTTTGCATCTCAGTCCTTCTGTGCTTATCCATCATTTCCATTCCGCCATGCAAGGAATGATGGGACCACATGCTGTCACTTCCACATTGCACTTCTCAGCTCAGAGCCTGACAAACAGTGAGTCCTTAGGACAGGGTGGATACACGTGGAAGTAAAGAGTTAGATAGATCTGGTAATTCCTTTGTCCTTATGGTTCTCAGTTGAGATTCTTCTTTCTAGTCTATCCTTGGGGAAGAACAGTCCTTGAGAGTGTCCGTTCTCTGAATTGAATATGCAGACACTGAGTGAGGGTGGAGAACAAAGGGATAAAGCAGAAGAGCCCACCCAGGACACCAGCTTCACTCTGCAGACCCTGCAAGGGGCCGTTCTGATCCCAGATAAACTTATTCTTCATAAAACATCAGTCAGCCCTGCACACAGTCCTCAGGGGAATCTAGAAGTTGTGGATGACCTCAGTATGCTCTTACACAGGTGTACAAATGAAAGAGTCCCTGTCTTGTGCTGGGTGGTTTAACCAGTGATAGGAAAAAGTCCTGAAATCAGAAACTGTCACCTTGCCAATCAAGTGTTGTGATACTGTGTGTACACATTAGTACACATACTACTACCTGAAGATTACTACACATAGCTATTACCTAAAGATCAGACAAGCCTATGAGAATCAAGAACACTTTCTGTTCATTGCATCCTAAGGCCACTGAGGTAATTCTTAGAACTGTTCATTTCATGGAAAAAGAGGAAAATCCACAGAAGTCCCCCCCCCCCCCCATGCCCTATTTCTTTCTTCTCTTTGTATCATGGTTCAGTTAGCTTCAGAATCTCAGAAAGAAACTGGACAGACAGGACTAGTGGGTATCTGAAACCCCAAACAATTATGAGAAAATGAAATATTAGTTTATACGCTTAAATATCTCTTAGTTCATTCATGCACCCACACGCGAGCGCACACACACACACACACACACACACACAACTGTGTTACCACAAAGTCAGTACTACTTATTAAAATGACCTGAACCCTGGTGACTTCACTACTGCTTTATATAAATACATTTGGCCTAAGATAAATCACCAAGAGCCGACTCCAGTTGGCCAGGGAACTTGCTTAGACTCATCTTCCTACAGTGGCGTGGCTAAAATGAGTCTGAGAACAAACCCACTGAGTGCCCAGAGCGACAGTCATCAGTGGGGGCGTCACCACTTGGCTTTCACGTCTCTAGTTGGTATCTTACTACTATGCAATTTGCATTTGAGGTTTCACGGTCTGCATTATTATTATCCTTACATTCTTGGATGACCGATGTAAAAGTTAAGCATACAGCCACATTGAAATTTAACTAATATAAGATTGAGTGTCATTTAAATATCTGTTTGATTCCATTCTGAAAAGAGGGTGGTTTCTTCAAAAGTTAAAAAGGGGGTGGGGCGGGGCTGTGGTGCTTGCTGGGTGATAGAGCACTTGCTTAGCAAGCATGAGGCCCTAGATTCAAGTCTTACTACTGCTAGAAAAAAAAAAAAAGACATTGTTACATCTCAAGCCTCTATAGCAAAATGAGAGTGTCTAAGGCAAATACATATTTTTAGGTCCTATGATTCAATTTCAATCATTTTCTTTTCCCTATTTTTATATTAAACATTGTGTTTACTTTTTAATCCCTTCCCATCAGACATACGAACAGGGGCTTTTCACTGTTGCCCAACAGTGACAAAGATGTTGGGCACATGTACAAACAAGGAGACATTTGCAGATGACTTACTAGGCTGGGCAGGAGAAAGCATTGCATGTCTTGGGTTCTGTTGCTGGCTTGGTTCTGACACTGCAGAACGAGGAGTTGACTTGAGTGTTTGGATCTCGTAAGCAAATGGCCTTGATGCTGATGTAACCTAGTGAGAGGCCAGAGGTTACACAGTGAGAAATGCAGATAACCCACTTAATACTTAGTTTGGGATTGATCAGTGTTCTGGTATCCTATTGAAGACACTGCATCCAAGTATTTTTGTGAAATAGTTCCTTGGGACACAGTTACAACCCACTTAAATTCAAATCATTTATCCCCAAGATAATAGATTTTTATACTTCAGTAATTTTCATATATGTTTTTCATTTTCAAGTGGATTCTAGATCCATCAAGCGATAAATACTATTCAAAACAGAGTAACTATGAAATGAAACACCCCAGGAAGCTTTAACATAAATTGTACAGATCTAATGGAAAACATTTCTATCCATAAACCACTAGGGAGGGGGCTGAAGAGATGCTCAGCAGTTAAGATCACTTGCTGCTCTTGCCTCTAGTCTAGAGGATCAGGGTTAGATTTCAGGCATCCATTCAACAGCTCACAGCCATCTGCAATGCCAGTTCCAGGGAGTTCTGATGTCCCTTTTTGCCCTCTGTGGGTACTGCACATATGTGATATACATGCAAACAGATAGGCAAACACTTGTACATAAAAATAATTAAGCCACTAGTGAATTATATGTGAAAACCCTAATATTCTACTTTACCATGAAGCATCTTCTGTTTCTATACCCAAGTGATGCCTGTATAGGCAACAAGTTAAACTCTGAATATTCATTTACACCTACCGGCTAGGACCCTGGTTTATGTAAACATTTGTTTTAGCAGAACTGTACAGCCTGGTTCCAAGTGTTCAACACTTCCCATCAGAGGCACAAAATGTTCTGTAAATACTCATGTTTAGCTCCTCAGACAGAAAATGCCACCTTGTCTTGGAATTGTTCTTTGTTTTTCATTTATATGACTTTCCTTCAAACAGCATTTGAGACATGATTCAAATGTCACCCTCGCTTTAATGATTGGCAGTCAGCTGCTCTCCTCAGCTAACAAAAGTTTGTTTTCCGGAGACACAGATCTAAACTGCATTGGGGTTCCCCAGAGTTCACAGTGTCCCTCTACAGACTGGATAAAATCTGTAAGCTGAGATGAGCTGGGAGGCAGAGGTAGGAAATCGCTTACCTCCCCCACAGGAGACTGAGCAGTCAGACTGCACCGTGCGCCAGGTGTACTGGTACCTCTTTGTGGTTGGCTGAGTTATGTTCATGACCTTGGGAAGTGCATACTTCCATGTGATCCCCGGATTCTTGCCTTGTGTCAGAATCTGGATAGGGTGGGATAAGACTTGAGAGATCAGTGTACCATCCAGACATCTTGTTGAATATTTTAAAGACATTTGCAAGTCATTTTGGTCTTAAAATCAGATCATTTCTTGTTCTCAAGAATGTTAAATGTTGAAATCAAAAGGTTTCCTATGACACTTGAAAGCATTTGCCTTCCTAGGATCAAAACTGGAGTAGACGGATGCTGGAAAAACCTAATTTGATGTTTTCTGCAATCATGCAGAACTCAAGGAAAGGTATCACCATCAACAAAGTAAACGAGCCATTAAGACGAAGACAAGAGGCCCAGCAAGGTGAGTCAGTGGTCACAGGCACTTGTGCAAGCCTGATGACCTAAATGCAATCCCCAGAAGACACGTGATGGTAGAAGGAGACAGCAGAATCCACAAAGTTGTCTTTTGGGCCTCCCCCATCCATGCCCAATGAGAGAGGACATGTTTGCATGTGCACACACGCACGCGCGCGTGCACACACACCTACACACACACACAGTTGAAAATAAAATAAATCATAATAGAGTCAATATATGTAGTGTAAGGGATTCAACTTAAAAAAGCCTGGGACTCAGGACGAAACTGATCCCATATGGTATGACTCCTGATGAGCAGCGGGGCTATGGGCCTCCTTTGGTTATTAGACGATCGGCCAGCCTTTGTCTGTACATTATCTCAAAGTGTTCCTTCAATAACTCTACAATGCTTTTATTTGTTCATAAAAAGAATGTGTACAAGATCGTTCAATGACTAGAGAATGAATTTAAATCAATCTGCAAAAAAAGTGTGTGCTTTTCCAATGCCATCCATAGCCTTTTTGATGTGGGCAAACACTCTCTGGGTGTCCTCTCTTTCAAACCATTCCCTTTTTTTCTCTCTCTCTCAAGCTCAATTCATGAATATAAATAACTGGTTTTCTTCCACCCCATGAGTTTTGTGGAAAATTCTTCACCACCAGAACTGGGCATGCATGCTCCAGAGGCAAAGCCTACAGCTAGTTAAAAATAGGCACCCATCCTCTCTGTCTGTTGGCATCCCACCCCAATTAAAGTTGGCTGGGTGGCACTGTACCACTGCACCACACTGCTCTTTAGGATGCTACCACATGGGTTTCATGTTGCTATTAGCTTAAATGCCTCCAGAAGTATTGTGTCTGCCACCGAAGGGATCATGACATGAACATCACTTGGTAGTATAACCAAGGGAATAGCAGAGTCTTCCAGACAGAGTCATGTTAACGGATAGATCTAAGTTGCCCCCACTTTATCGGAAATGAAACTATTACACAACACAACAGGCAGAAGCATTAGGATGAACAAGCACTGGATTCTCACCAGTTACCAACAAAAATGTTCTGCTCCCCTTGCTTGGCCTTTCTACTGTGTTTCTGCTAATTTGCTGGTGCCAGATTAAGTAAATACAGGCAACTCACAGTCAGACTGGAATTGGAAGAGCAGATCAGTATTCAGAAACTGTGGTGGTTTCATTTTGTCTGCTCGACACAACCCAGAATCACCCAGGAAGAGAGTCTCAGTGAGGGATTGTCTAGACTAGGCTGGCCTGTGTGTATCTCTCTCTCCCCTTTCTCTCCCTCCCTCCCTCCCTCCCTCCCTCCCTCCCTCCCTCCCTCCCTCCCTCTCTCTCTCTCTCTCTCTCTCTCTCTCTCTCTCTCTCTCCCTCTCTCCCTCTCTCTCTCTCTCTCTCTCTCTCTCCCCCTTTCTCTCCCTCTCCCTCTCTCTCTCTCTCTCTCTCTCTCTCTCTCTCTCTCTCTCTCTCTCTCTCTCTCTCTCCCTGTGTATGTGTGTGTATTTGGGGGATGGTCTTGAGTGCCTTAATTGATATGGCAGGAAGACCCAGCTTAAAAGTGGGGAGCTTGAGCCGGGTGGTGGTGGTGCACACTTTTAATCCTAGAACTCAGGAGGCAGAGGCAGGCAGATCTCTGTGAGTTCGAGGCCAGCCTGGGCTACAGAGCGAGTTCCAGGACAGGCACCAAAACTACACAGAAAAACTCTGTCTCGAAAAACCAAAAAAAAAGTGGGGAGCTTGGTTCTTGAGTATAGAAAAAGCTAGCTGAGCACTAAGCATGATGCATTTATTCTCTGCTCTTGACTGTGGCCGAGTGACTAGTTGCTTCAGGTTCCTGTCTTGAGTTTCACCAAGAATGGACTGTAATCTCAAACTATGATCTAAAACAAACTCTTTCCCCCAAGTTGCTTTTTCTCGAGGTATTTATCACAGCAGCAGAGACATAACAAGGACAGAAGGTGATCTTTCTGCTTATTGGTATTTCGTCTCACTTGCTCCTTCTGTTAAAGTGATATGACAAACCTTAGCACTCTTGGCTACCACTGTCTCCGTGCGACAGAAAGGAAGAGAGAGATCTTGGAGGGGGAATAATGTAGGATAGCACAAGTCCATGAGTGGCAATAAAAGGACATAGGAGATGCAAAAGAGTTACAGCAAGCCAAGGGAGGTCTTAGCAGGGTGATGCCACAGCTCGGTAGAGTCACACTCAGCTGCTCACAGCAGAGGCACATCTTGTATGCTAGGGAGAAAGAGATGTGCTGACTTCTTGCCATTCTTTAGTGCACCTATTCCTTCCTTCATCCAAACTAGTTGCTGATTTCTACGGCTACAGGGGAATAGACTTCTATGAAAATGTGAAGAAAACAGAAATATAAAATAATGTTAGTTCTTGCCTTTTTTTTTTTAGCCACAAGGGTGAACACTTTGGTGATCTGAGTGGTATAACAAGGGTCTGGGATTTAAATCCCTGGTAGGGAGTACTTGCCAAGCAAGCACAGAGCCCTGAGTTTGCTCTGCAGCACTGGGAAAGCAAGCAAGCAAGCAAACGAGGAGCCAGGGACGCAAAAGAGGTGCTAGAGTCTAACGTGCACAAAACCTGGGGTTCAAGCCCCAGCACCACATAAACAAGGCCCATGACTATAATACCAGCACTCGGGAGCTCAAAGTAGGGGAATCAGCAAGTTCAAGGTCACCCTTGGCTACGGAGTGAGACTGAAGCCACCATGGGATACAAGAGATCTATCCGCACCCCACCACCACCACCACCACCACCACCAGTCAATCCACAAGGAAAAAAAATGGTTTAACAAATTTTCATTGAGCATACATAGTTCCTATTGCCTTCACTTTTTGGCTATACTTTAGGAACCAACATTAGCATATGGCTTGACTGCAACACTGTAAAATTAGGCTGAACAGAAAAGCTCCCACCACACTCAGGAGAAAGCAACCAAGATGCCCACATTTCCCAGACTGCCATCTCAGCCAATTATTCTACATCATCAACACTGCCGACAGGAAGAGACTTACACCATGTCCCCCCATAAGCCTGCTCCTGTCTCTGCAGCCAGCCCTCCCTGTCATTTCTATGATGTTCTGCCTGGCTGCTGCCTGAGACCTCTTCCATCACGTTCCAGTTTGTTTTTTCTGCTGCTCTGATAAACGTCATGACCAAAAGCAACTTGGGGAGGAGGAAAGGGTTTATTTGGCTCATACTTCCAGATGTCCATCACTGACGGGAGTCAGGGCAGGAGATTAAGAGGGAACTGGAGTAGGAACCATGAAGGAACGTTGCTACTGACTTACTCACTGGCTTTTGTATACAGCCCAGGTCATTAGTAACCTCAAACTTAAGTCAGCCCAATGTGTTTCAACCTGACACATGTCAACAGTGGTTGTCATTCTCTATGAAATCCCAACCCCTGACCTCCACATTTGTCTATTCCACTGTTGACTCAACCTCTGAATCTGAATATTTGGGAGATACATTCAAGTCCAACATTAGCTACAATCTCTTTCCCTGTATTCAGAAAGGCTAGTTTTCCCTCAGCTTTCTCCTCTGCATGAGGTGTCCACCCATCCTTCTAGGTCTACAGGCCAGCACAGGATCATGGGGCCCCCATAGACTATTCTTATTCTCACAACTCACATGCAACAGGCCAGGTCATGGCATAGTCTTTACATTTTGTGTGCCTTCTGTCCCACTACCTCTCATGTTACTGACACTATCCTGGGCTAAGCACCACTGTATCATGTCTGACTTCCATGGACAGGGAAGAGAGAAGTGATCTTCTCCAGAAGAGAAGGTGAGGCAGATACACATTTAAAAGTAATTCTGCCACAGTCACCCAATAAATCAAAAGCCAAGGGCTTTAAAACCCGCAGAGGGAAATCACACATATATGTGAAACTTAAGGGTAATTGAAAGAATATCTAAAATCACATGATTGCCTCAATCACTTGCCTATCTAAAATCACATGACCACTTAAAGCAGCTTAGCTGCTATTATTCAGTGTTATCAAAAATTCTGGGTCTTACCATGTTTCATGTTCAGTTTATTTACTTATTTAGTTATTGAAGTACACTTTCAAGTAGCCTACCCTGGCATTGGGCTCATTAGGCAACCAAGGCTGGACTTGAACTCTGATCCACCTGTCTTTGTCTCTTGAGTACTAAGGTTGTTTTGTTTTTGAGAACTGGAGCTCTACAACATAGCATTCTCTGATCTGAATTTGTGATTCTCCTGCCTCTGCCTTCTGATTGCTGGGAATCCAGGTGGGTACCACTATGCCTAGACTTATTAACGGAGTATCTCGGAAAGGACCTGAGCCATGTGTCAAAGCGAACAAAGGGAAACTTCCTGTGTCTTTCTAATCCTCATGAAGAGACAAATAAGACATTGCCCACCTCCCTTTCCTCATCACTGAATAGAAAATATGAAAAGATACTTAGAAAAATAAAATATTTGAGATAAGAGCAAGAACACTGAGTAGACTATTTAAAAGCTATAGGGAATGAATATACTCCACATTACCCAGACAAGCAATAGAAAAAAAGAAAGATGAAAAAAGGCACACTGTATTACAATGTGTTAACAGTTTTCACAGGAGACATGCACCTTTAAATCAGTAAGTCACAGACACCCATAGTGACTCTCTGTACGTTCTATTAGTTTTCCAGA